GTTGGATACCAAGATCGGTTAGTCATGGGTTTGATGTTTATTTTTTTGTTTGTTTGTTTGTTTGTTTGTTTACTTCTTTCATGCATTTGTTGTAGAAGTTGGAGAGTCAGATCACAAAGCACTAAGGTGATCGTAAGTCACTAAGGTAACCTTAGGGCAATGTTAAAGAATGGGAGTTAGTAAAGATTGCTTCGTGTAAGGAGCACCAGGTATACAAGACACAAGAATCTGAATTGAAACGTCGTATCACCTGAATAAAGAAGTTGTTTGTCCATGGCGTTTGTCCTTATCTGTTTGTTTGTTGTTTAACGCAGCACACAGCAATATTATAACTATGTGGTGGCGGTCTGTAAATAATCTAGTCTGGACCAGACAATTCAGTGGTCAACACCATGAGCATCGATCTACGCAATGGGGATACGATTACATTTGACAACCATGTCAGCGAGCCTGGCCACCCAATCCCGTTAGTCGCCTTACGACAAGTTTATCTGCTGAAGACCAATTCTAACCCGAATCTTCACGGGTCTAGTCATGGGTTTGAATCCCAGATTTGCCCTAATAGTAAATCCTGGTTTGTTAGTACCATGCCCGGGGTGGTGGGGTAGTCTAGTGGTTACAGCGTTGGCTCGTCACGCCGAAGACCCGGGTTCGAATCCCCACATGGGTACAATGTGTGAAGCCCATTTCTGGTGTCCCCCGCCGTGATGTTGCTGGAATATTGCTAAAAGCGGCGTAAAACCAAACTCAGTCAGTCAGTACCATGCCTCGTCAGTTCCGCCAACGTCCTTAACGTCTAAACGACCCCTTTCTTAGTTTAGAAATACGTAACACATTACTCTGCCACCCCGTAATGCAAGTTAATATGCTTCATCTGAACTCACTCACTCACTCACCTCAACATTAGCGGCGCGCCATCCATATGACTATCCATTCCACTATCCATATCACTATCTATCGACTGCCCATATCACTATCCACCGACTGTCCATGCCACCACCCATCGAAAATCCATGGACCATCCATACCACTATCCATCGACTACCAAAACAACATGGGCATTCGGATACTGTGACATCCTTCTATTTTGTACACCGACATTATTTTTATCCAAACAGAAAGTATGACGCATGTATATTGACAGATAAATATACATGTATATTCCAGCTCTGCAGTAACTATTCCAGTTGCCTGTGCATTGCATTTATTTCGGGGTTTTCAATATTACACAAAATGTTAAAGTCAATGAGAGAGGTTACGATGGCCCACTGGTCTTAATTCTTCAGGATGTAGTTCAAATCCGATCGCGAGTTTGAGTTTGACTTTGATCCATGTGGGAAACATTAACTTTAAAGCTTCAGAGATAGCAGAAATACTTCTAAATGTGGCCTAAAAGCGAATTCATTCACTCATAAATAGAGCTGTGACGATGTATCGTAGTATCGATAATCGTGATACTTTATCTGACGATAAATATATCGATACTTTTTTCGTATCGTGATATGTATCGTTGACCTTAAAGTTGTTAATTTTCACCAGAAATTGACGGTTATGTCAACATTTACACTGGTACTTGCTATTAAAATATACTTTTTAAAAGAAAATAACTAAAGACAGCATATCCTGATATGCATAAGATCGTATCGTATGGTTCCAAGCTATCGCGATACGTATCGTATCGTGAAATTTCTGTATCGTCACACCTCTACTAATAAATATTGTTAAAAGTCCGAATGATTCATGACTGATGTGGGTGTATCCAAACCTTCCTTTGAACTTTGCGTGCATCCTGCTCGTTTTTTTCCTCCATATCATGCTAACCTTTACAATAAATAGTATTGGCTACCATTTCGGTAGGATAATATAGCAATGCGGTACACGCGTGCAGACACTGTAGACCTGTCTGAATATTCCCCTTGCAACAGCCAGGCAGTCAGCTGATCGCCAACTCTCACGCTACAGGTGCCCCCCTCCTCTCCCCAGCCCTCCCTCAACTTGTCTGGAACGCTAGACTATAACGGTTGTCACGTGACACATCTCAACGACAACAGCGTTCACGTTTTAAATTCGTACGCATGCGTGCATCGAAATTGATGAAGACACAAGCAGCTGTTGAGGCAATTTGTTATATAGATAATTTATTGAACGTTTGCCAAAGTGATAGGCGTGTCCTTGCCAGACACCGACACACAGACAGACTGGGACGCCAGTACTTCTCCGCAGTGCAAACTAGACACAGAAACACATGTTTAAAAAGTTTAATATATCATCTGGCTTTTGTTAACGAGTCTTTTCAAGATTGCTAAATAGATAACGATATCCGTGTCTACAGATCTTCTGGAGCGAGTATTGTATATCGATCGTTTTTTTCTTTTTTTGTTTGGACAATGCTTCGACAAAAGAGTTTTAAACAAAAAGGAATGTATATATTGAACAAAGGTTCAACGAAACTTACTTAATCTAACCTTACTGATAAACCAGTGTTTACGAAAGTACATGTGATACATTAATGGACTTTCTAATGCCGGTCAGTCAAGCGAGACCGTGTCATTGCCTGTGCACGACAGCCAGAAGTACTCTGGCACCTGTTCAAACCCGCCATCTGTTCTGCGTTTAAACATATCCATGTATATTACTCTCCATGTCAGGTTGTTGTTGCAGCTTATATGAACATATACTCCCATGTACATGTCACGTGCAACCTGAGGTCCGCGTTCCAAGGATATGCACTTCATCTGTACTTTCTAATACAGCAGCTAGTATATATACCGCTTTTAGTCATTTACAAGCACCTGGAATAGTCCTTACGATATCATAAAACTATTAAAATGTGATTAAACTGAACAAAGCAAACTGTTGATAACCGCAAAGTGTTCCGTCATTTCTGTAGACGAAGCAAATGTTTCTTGAATTTTCTAGTTACGCCAGAATGCTACAGATTTTAACAGAACACGAAAGAATCATTCATATACTCAGCTGTTGCTGACAACAGAATGCTCCTTATATACTATTGTTGACAACAGAATGTTCCTTATATACTATTCTTGACAACAGAATGCTCCTTATATACTATTCTTGACAACAGAATGCTCCTTATATAATATTCTTGACAACAGAATGCTCCATATATACTATTCTTGACAACAGAATGCTTCTTACATGCTATTGTTGACAACTGAAGGTTGCTTATATACTATAGTTGAAAAAAGAATGCTCCTTATATATTATTGTTGACAACTAAGAATGTTCCTTATATAATATAAGAATTTCCTATATATACTACTCTATTTGACAACAGAATGCTCCTATATATATATAAGAATGTTCCTTATATACTATTGTTGACAACAGAATGTTCCTTATATACTATTGTTGACAACAGAACGTTCCTTGGATGATATTGTTGACAACGGAATATTCGATTGGTGATGCTCCTTACATTTTATAAATGCGACAGAATGTTCTAGATAAGATAAGGACTGCATGATCCGTGTGTTCTATAGATGCTGATAGAACATTCAAACTATTCTAAAGATCTAAGGATCACGCCTGAATGACCCATGTATTCTGTAGTCGACAATATAAAGCTCAAAATAGTCTATATTTGATAATTAAGCATTATGCATTATTTAATTCATAAATATAATTAAAATTGAATGTCATATGTAAACAGCTGCTGATTACAGAACGCACCTGTTTATTCCACCTTGTTGCTAAAGGTATGGATCACTCTGGTTCGATAATTCCAGTGGGTCGAAATGCATACATATATTATAAGAGTGTAGTCAGAAGTCTCGCTATATTCTATAGATGGTTATATCAAATAGATAACTAATGTTCTGGTTTGACTGAAGTCGGCTCGTAAAATTAGTTTCTGTTGTGTTACCATGTTTCTAATTGTCCAGAGGCGTCATGCATGTACGAGTGTCGCCGGGGACGTAATGTAATAATAATGAGATGTTGAGACAGTCGTCACTGTCGGTGTCTTCCCAGTACAAACTCTCTCAGCTTCAATCACGCAGTAATGATTCTCACCAAATGCTTGCATGCCATGTAACAATGCAACAATAGCATCTGAGAATGTTTGCTATGTCACCATAGACTAGAGTTGTGTCAGACCCACAGGTGTTTTTGCCTTGCTGGTTGCGAGGGTTTGGATGAAACGGTCCACACAATGCGGTGATCAAGGTAGCATTCTGTCACAGTAATTCAGTTCCAGGGGGCTATTAGTGTCTGCAGACAAGTGTTGTTTATCAACGCTCTGCCCTTGTGTTTATGTACGTACACAAGAATACCGAGAGCACTTACGTGCCAGTGGCGAGTGCCTCTCAATACCTGCATTAAAAACAGACTTTGAATTTCGATGCCTTTAACCTGATATATGTCTGCATTACTTTCATTCGAACGTCTTTCTAAAAATGAAGTGCTCTTGTGTGGCAGTGTTTGAAGTGTTTAAGTTTATTCACTCCCTTCGCGTGAAAGCCTTTCAAACGGACTGAGTACATCCAAGCAAATACAGCCCTCCGTTCACAAGAAAGTCCTTCAATACGGAGGACCAGGCACCCCCGCCCCTCTCACATGAACCTCTTTAAAACGGATCAGGCACATCCGCCCCTCTCACATGAACCTCTTTAATGTGAACCAGGCATCTCCGCTCCTCACTCATGAACCTCTGTGAAACGGACCAGGCACCTCCGCTCCTCACTCACGAACCTCTGTGAAACGGACCAGGCACCTCCGCTCCTCACTCATGAACCTCTGTGAAACGGACAAGGCACCTCCGCTCCTCACTCATGAACCTCTGTGGAACGGACCAGGCACCTCCGCTCCTCACTCATGAACCTCTGATTCAGGCACCTCCGACAAGGTACTGTAGTCACCCACATATGTAATTCTTTACAGCAGGCAGACGCCTTCAGGTTATGACGAAGTCAGGTTACAAACAATGTCAAATATAATTATTGTTTGTAGAACAGATAAAAGTATGACAAAACACTTAATGCATCCTCAAATTTTATTGCCATTTTATGGCTCAAGATAAAAAAGCTCAAAAGGTAGAATAAAAATCTGATTATAATGATCATGTACTGAAAACTGATCAAAAACAGTATTGATCTTGAGATCATTTCCCATGCTGAGTTACTTGAACACAAAGATCGATAATGATTGATTGGCTGACATCAGGGGGACAATCAGAAGGTCGCCACTACCCCTCTCAAGACAGGACATACCCAGGGGCAGTACAGGACCCGCTGGGGTCAGGACAGGACATTCCCAGGGGCAGTACAGGACCCGCTGGGGTCAGGACATGACATACCCAGGGGCAGTACAGGACCCGCTGGGGTCAGGACAGGACATACCCAGGGGCAGTACAGGACCCGCTGGGGTCAGGACAGGACGCCCGTTAGGGTCAGTACAGGACGCCCGTCAGGGTCAGTACAGGACGCCCGTCAGGGTTGGACACGACGCCAGTTAGGGTTTAGACAGGACGTTTGCTAGGGTCAAGACAGGACACCCGCAGGGTTGGACACGACGCCAGTTAGGATTTGGAAAGGACGTTTGCTAGGGTCAGGACAGGACGCCCGCAGGGTCAGTACAGGGCGTCTGCTAGGATCAGGAAGATGACCTGCACTAGGGTCAGGACAAGTGACCCGATGAGGTCGGGACATTGAGCAAGACAAGACATTGATGACGCCAATGCATGGACGTCCCTGTATGTACTTATCCACGTGACATATTTGCTCAACCATATGCTCGAGTATGGCGTCGCCAGGTTCTCCGAACACGGAGGATACTGTTAACGACAAATGACTGTATAATTAATACCTAACAAGATACTGAGCTTATCTCCTTCATACAGTTAGATATATCGTATGTTCCTTGAATTGTCAGTAAGAGGTTGTTTTTTCTCCTCATTAAGACGTGTCAACCTCCCGGCGCGTCACTACAAATCAAACACAGTGACGTGAGAAGACAGGGTTCCACGTTCCGAGGAATATATAAGCGCTGGAATAATTTCACATAAGGAACTATTTAGAGTAAAACTAAACCAATTTATCGACGATGTTTCTATTCATCGTATTCTTAAACAAGTTACTTGGCGCAATACTGGGGGTGAGGTTCAAGTTGGCGAAAGGTGAATAACAGGTTTGTCAGATCTGCCAGGCAGCCATTGGTGAGACGACAGCAGCGTGACGTCGCCCTTTTCATCTTGTTAGGGGTAGTGGCATCCATCAGGAGGTAGATGAGGCTAACACTGTAAGACGTTACAGTTGACTATATGCCGGACACGTGGCGTTACTTGTCATGTGACACGTAGCTTATAATAGCCATGACACGTACTGACTATATCACGTTACTAGCCATAGGACACGTAGCGTTAATGGTCACAGGACAAGTAAACGTAATAGTCACGAAACATTCTGACTACGTTACTAGTCAGTAGATCGGTAGCGTTACTAGTCACGAAACGGTCTGACTACTTGACGTTACTAATCACATGACACGTAACCTTACTAGTCACGAAGCGTAACTGACTACTTGACGTTACTAATCACATGACACGTAACCTTACTAGTCACGAAGCGTAACTGGTCACAGACACGTAGCGTCAGTATTGACGACTATGTGACGTTACGAGTAACATGGCAAACTAGTCAAAGGAAACGTAGCGTTACTAGTTATGACGTTATCACTACATGGCTTTTCCAGCTGCATGATGGGTAATGACAGAAAGATGATGAGAATCACATGACACTCGGTGGGTTCACACCGTTTCTAGCTGCATTGCTCGTGAAGTACCTACAAGACTCGACTAGTCATGTGACGCGTAATGACACATAGTTACTAGTCTCAGGACAAGGGACGTCATGGCGTTACTTGTCACATAACACGTAGCGCTACTAGTCCAATAACGCAGTAAAACAAGGCTTGTCATAGTATATCTGGACACATGACACGTAGCTCTACCCGTCGAATGACACGTAGTGACGACATGACGCTTCTAGTCGCGTGATCAACGTAACGTCAGTGTTACATGACACGTAGCATAACAAGCAGTGACCTCGTTTTACCAAGTAGCTGCATGACACGTGGTGACTGTATGACATCATGTAATGACTTCATCTCAATTAAAAACTTCGTGTTAATTACTGACGTCATTGTGAAGGAAATGGTCAGATCTATAAAACATTCGGATATATTACACCTGGTATACCACATCATCAAAGTATGTGAATACCGAATGAAACAAACACCTCACACCGACCTCTACGCGCAGTGTGACACTCAGATGCCATGAGGAATTAATCAAATGTTTCTCAAACAAATTTGACCTTGTGACATCACCAGGCTATAAAACAATGACAAATATACTTCTTTATATATAATTATTTTTCCGCAGACAATGTTGATATTATCTCGAACGCTCTTGATATATTCAGGAAAACACATTAACATATCTTGCATTTTTATGCAAAGCAATCTGTCTGGCCTACAAGCAGTACCAGTGTTTCTAACATCACTACCCTAGAAATGTACTACGCTATAATTAGATATAGATGTCTGTACAATATGTTCTATATACTCCCAGTCGATTACCAATAAAGACAACAAACAACAGTTTATAAATCCAGTTTAAAGCCCTATTCTAGTGTTTGTGAAAAGGTAGAAGAATTTAAAGAGCAGCAGTTGGCCTGTACGTGGCACAATATACACATGGATATTGTTAAATCATTTTGCTTTATTCAAAAAGACATTTTTGTGGAATTATCAAATTTACGGAAATTGTCCACATCATTACGGCTTCATGACCGATGGTTTTATTTTCTCGTTCTGTAACGTGGAGACGTTGTACATATATAACTCTTGCTACAAAAATCAGAGAATGGTTTCAACGTTTGGCTGTGGTCAAATATCAAACATAATACAAATTGCTGTTGACTGTCACATATTTCTAACTGTCGCCGCAAAGGGACTTATTTAGTAAGTTGTTGGTAAATTGTGTCTCTGTTGATACATGTATATATTTTTTCGATATTTCGATAATCGAATCACGCATAGACTTAAAAACATGCCATTTATGATTCCAATTTAAACTTTAACAATATAACGAATTGTCCATTTGAAAGTCAAGTCATATTTGTACAGAACGGTCCATACTAAGAATATTTCCGTATATACACTTTAAGAGACAGTTGTAACAATCAGTATATATTACATACATCTGAACAATCAGACAAAACCTCCATATATATAATACATCGAATTGTTACATATATCATATTCATGATATCTGCACAAATGGTTTATATTTTGTATTAAATGAAGTCATAAATGTCAGGCTTTGGACAGCGTGTATTTTGTCATATTTTCGGGAAGAGGAAAACGACGACGTCTTGTTTGTCCATACATGAGATACGTCGTTGTTGATCAAATGTTTCTTGTTGAAGGGTACGTTGCCAAGGCTACAAGAATACCCAGCAACTACATCCCATACAGGCAGTGACACGGGAGGCCCGAAGCTGCATCATCAGATGAACTTTCTGTCAGGGGTGAAGGTTGTCTTTGACACAAGGAGATGATGACACGTGACATATGACTGACCAATGAGCGATGAGTGAATAGATCCACGTGAGCTTATTGATTGGTGCTACTGGGCAAAGAGGTCAGGGTGGTGGATTGTCCACCTTGGTCATGTGACACAGCTGCGCATGCTCAGTAAGTACAGCTAGTAGTCTGGTCCGCTCTTTGCCTAGTTCGGATATTTCTGAGCGTAGGCTGTCGTTACTGGATTCGAGACGATGGGTCTCCTGAAAGAGTAAATTCGTCGCTTAGTGAGTGAGTGAGTGAGTGAGTTGGGTTTAATGCCAAATTAAACAGAATGTGTTCCATCACGGCGTGTCCGCTAAATATTGCGGGAGGCCCAAGCTGAGACCGCCTTTTGACGTCACTAGCTGGATGTGTGCCAAGATATTGGTGCCGACACACCGGGAACAATAATCAGGTCAAATCTCGGGTTCGAACCCACGATTATATCATTCTAGGCGTCATTGCCGCTGTGTTCTCGACCCTGAAACAAGAATCCTGAAATGAAACAGCTACCGCTTTGAGTACGCATATTCTCCCTGTCTCCAGGAGGAATGTACACGATACGTTAAGAAGACGTTAAGAGATACGAAACAAGGCCGTCGGGTTCGTAAGGACAGAAAACCCATAAACCCAGTCGAAGGAGACTTGTCTGTATCAAGCCAAAATACAACACATCTCCAAGAGCACTTCACATGTCTACATAGCGTACTTTATGTATGATATATTACCCTTCACGAAAATGTATACCTTTTTAAAACATCTATAATCTAATAACAAATAATGGGGGACCAATTTTTGCTAACAATTTCGCTTTCAGTTTTTGAAAGCGTTTTTGTTCGCGAGCTGGGGGAGGGGTTGAAAACATTACCACAAGAATGTTAATATACCTGCATGAGAATGTCCGTTTTGTTTCTCTTCTTTTCACGGAATTTGCGAGCTGCTCGTCGATTCTGCTCCCTACGCCTGTCTAACTTGGCCAGCTCCTCGGGGCGGGGCTGCAGAGAAACAGGGCGTGGTTGGACAGTGGCTTACAACATCCGGGTTAATCATCAATAAATATTATACATAATACTGTAAACATCAACAGAAACAATACAGTCGACATGCGACATCGTTATATTTTAGATGGACCAAGCACATTCTACTAAGGTCTTGATATTACAATCTTGATGTCTTTCAGACAATATAATCTGAATACTAACACATAGAGAATACTAAACGCTGTCCAGTGTAATACCATATTTATGAAACGAGTGAATGGTTTGATACCAATACCATTCACGAGTTTCATAAATATGGCATTACACGGGACATAGTTTAGTATTTTATTTATTACTCACCCAACATTAGCAAAATAATATCGAGCAAAGTACTTCTTTCCTAAGAATTCAACGAGTGTGATGACTCTCAGCTTCCCGCGAGTCAAGCAAGGTCTAATACTATTGTGACAGAGGTATTAGCATTGTGACGCCATAACTGTAAACCAGTTTTACGTCATACGTATAGTACGGCACCACGTGATGTTATTACACAATGTGTAATAACATTGTAAAATTATTAAACGGTGATATCTTCAACGGGTGAGTAATAAATTCAACTAACGTTGTGTTGAACTTTATGTGTCGTTTTTCGAACTTATGTTTGTCTCGAAGTAAAGATTGGTCCCTGTGTTTTCCTTCTTTAATCATCATTCAGCGTTCGTCACGAAGTAAAAGATTGGTCCCTGTATTTTCCTTCTTTAGTCATCATTTAGCGTTTGTCTCGAAATTCGGATAACTTGATGTATTCGATGTCAAAACGATAAATTAATATAATCTGATAATAAAAATCAGAACATTTAAACATTAACACAAAATGTCCGAATATTACAATCCTTGATCGTACAGTTAATGTCGTGTCAAGAAATGTACAGTTTTCTCGGGAAAACCGTGCGAGACATCAACGAGATTGAATAAATAATTACTGTTATATAAGTATTTACTCGAAATGAAAACTGGATATAGTTAAATTCAGAGTATTTAATTCACGCGAACAAACACATAGAAACAACTATAAAATACAAATATGATTAACGTCATGATTGAAAGAATAAAATAGACGGAATCACGAAATATAGATACAATTTTCCTAAAACCTTGCAAACAAATATTTATCACATCATCAAAGCATATTACTGCCTCATAGACATAATTAATGCAAAATTAGTATTTTAATAGTAAAAGAATGATAACTATAAAATAGGAAAAACTGAATGTTGAAGAAACATATTTGAAACATGAAGAAAATTATGATACTTCATGGATAACCACTTCTCTATTATATTATGATGGAATGTTTCGGTATAGATTCCTATACCGGTGTCAAACAGATCATATTTGAAACATTTCTAACGAACTAATGACATTGTATACAAACTAACAAGCAAACTGCACTTAAAATCATGTTTTTCATGCATTGGTAGTCCAAGGAATGGCTGAGTAGGTGTCGGTATACCCCCGCGGCGGTGTATCGGGTGGGTAACAGTACTTACACGCACTGGGCCGTCAGTTAGACCAGCCATGCGACTATAGAAAGCTTCCAGTGATGCCAAATGTGTCACTGGATACATCAGATATGGGGAGAGCGGCAGATTGTTTACTACAAGTTTGGAATTGCTACAAACAAGCTTGCCAAAAGGAGATTCCAGAAAACATGCCATTATTTTTTCATTATTCGCTCTGGCTGATGTCGAGGCATTAAAAACCACTGACTGACTGCGCCACGGTAACTGGCGGTTGTTTCGTTGCTAGCGCTGTACAGTAGTTGTATGGAGTAATTGAAAACACCAAGAGGTCCTGGTTTTGCCATTTATATTCTAAGCCGACAGAAACGTAACCAAAGTAAACCTAACTCAAGGTTAAAGACAAGGTAAAATGAAAACAGTTCTTAAATGGCACCAAATAATAACACTAACGCCAGTCGAACACTCCCGGGTGTAATGAAAAGAGATGATAAAAATATTACACTATAAGCAATATACTATTTTGAAAATGATTATTATCATTGTTGTTATTGATTATGGTTATGATTAAAAGATTAAAATAAATGAAACAAGCAAGAGTTTTCAATAGAAATATATAAATCCCATAATTATCCGTTTTGATGGTGACATTGCCCCGCAGCGCAGTAATACCGTTTAAAATGACGTATTACAATACGTCTGGCGCTCGGTCAAACGCAATACGATTTTCACTAAGTGCGGATAATGTTTCTCGATAATACAACAAAATTAAAGGTTCAAATTAATCAATGGGTACGTAGTTTGGGATGTACAAGACAATATAGCTATGGATTGTCAAAGTATTTGAATCAATGCTGGAAAAAATGGGGGCTATATTGTGTCTGTGTACGTCGGTTCGGTTGTCTGGTTCGTTAGTTGCTATGCTCAACATGTTAGTTATGTCGCTGTTGGTATCGACTAGCGAGGGGCGGGGCTTGTCTCGGCATCAGGGGCGGTGAATATATAAAGATTCCAAAACACTGAGTCCAGTTGTGAAATAAATGTACTAAACGCAATTTATTTAATGATAACGACTAAATGTTGCAACCAATTACACTGGCGTGAACATAACTGTTATTCGTTAATTAATCGTGAAACAATTATCAGGATCGATCTCTGTTATAGTTTATCAAAATATTAAGGAAATATGTCACACGAACATGAATTGTTGATAACAAAGTGAGTGAGTGAGTTAAAATTTAACGTCACCTCGACAATATTTCAGCCATATAGTGACGAGATAACAAAATAGATAAGTAAAATGGTACGTATGGGTCATGTAACTACATATTTATATATACAGACTATATAGACACACAATGCACGCCATTGTAAAGCAATGGTCTGTCTTATACTAAAACATTTCATGACGAAGTGTCACAGGATGGAAAATATATGCTAATCGGTCTTACACAAATGCAATATGTTTAAAACAGCTGGTTTAAACAGTACGTAAAATAGATAAGCTGAATAAGAATAACTTTTTTTCGAATTTCCGGGGAAACAAATTAAATAGTTATGAAAAATATATGAAAGCATCACTGAAAAATCAGGAATGGAGTACTACGCAAAAGAATAACTTTTTTTCGATTTTCCGGGAAAACAAATTAAATAGTTATGAAAAATATATGAAAGCATCACTGAAAAAAAATCTGACACTGGAAGATCAGGAATGGAGTACTGTTTATGACACCAGTTGTTATTTTGCACAATAAATCTTTTGTTAAAATTTGAAACTAAACGATTCATTATAACGCACAGATGTTGTTTATTGTGTTCGTGTTAAGATTGTTCTGATAACATTGTTCACATTGCTACTTGTACCAAGGAGGAAATGCAGACTACATAAGATGACACGTGGTGGTTGAAACAGGATACAGGAAGTGGTCTCTTCCTCTACTGTAACGCTTTTGTTGAGGACAAGTTGGAGCACACGGGCAACGTGCATATTCTTTGATATAACAGACATGAGATATCACTTTACATTCACCGCCGTATATAGTTGAATCAAAATGGTTATATTTATCAAAAGTGATATATTTATACATGTATTTCCACATGACGGTTTGAATGCCAGTTAATGATTTTTAAAAATATTTTCATATTGAATATTGTCGACAATGGACAGACCTCATAATACTCAAAAAATAAAATGTATATTAACTACGGAACAATGAAAGTTTTAACAATGGAGGAGAGTGAGAAAACTCAAATCAAATGTTTCTATGATTTTTAAGATAAGTCCGATCAATTTTCGAAAGTAACAATGAATAATATATGTGTTCATGTTACTGGTACAGCATTATATATATTATTCCTGAAATGAACGTTATATATTACTGGTGTACACTCATCATCATCATCATCATCATTATCATCATCACAGCAATCAGGGGGGCATGAAATAATTAATGCATAGTAACGTTTAGACGGAGATCTACCTGGCCTCAGTATTTGATTACTTTGTTTATGTTCATAATCATTTTCTGAAAATAAACAAGTCCAATCTCAAGAGAAACTCGGTGAAATCAAAATAACTGTACCGTTATAAGTCTTGTATTTAAAAAAAAACTTGCTTGTGTCAAATACCCGCAATTCTTGGAAGTGTAAAGGTTTAATGTTCTATTACACAACACATGTATTATCTATTACAGAACACATGTATTATCTATTTTCATAGTTAATATTCTGGCAGTGGCCAACTCGTCTCCTCTTCGCGACACAATGTAAGGATGCAATATATTGTGTTGTGCCGCAGCGATCTGGTATTTATTGAATCTGTTGTAATTATTTACTCAATATCGTCTTCGGAGATTTCAAACAGCGCGATGCGACACTGCTCAAAGATGGTTGATCAAACGTATAACATTCAAGGTATCAGTAAAGCTTTAAAAGTTTATAGGCAAACATGTGGTATACATTTAAAATTAGTGAAAATAATGATGCCAAATTTAATTTTTCAGGTCAACAATTGACTTTCCTTTGCATGTATTTGTGACGAATGCCGTCGGTGGGACATGATATGGAAACAACTGGTAGCATTACTGTTAAATAGTGATCCATCCATGCGTATGAACACGTCTGAAATAATAAAAGACTGTTAACTGTTAACAAATTAATTATTATGGAAAGGGTTCGGTCGCTTTTTTTTATGCACACGCCCCTCTTGGTCTCCCATATCGACCGAGAGCCTAATTTATTTCAAAGAGAAGGTTGTAGTCAAGCTATTCTATCACCTGTTTAGCAAAAATGTAGATATCACCAATAAGCCTGTTCATCCCGCCGTGAATACAAACACAGATGATATTATAACTTAAATCAAATCCCAACGATTAAAAAACACCCATCATTGCAAACTGTGTCTTCATTAGAAAACTGGCAGTATGTGTCACGGAGAGTCTAAGACACCTCAGACACCCCAGTCTTGTCAGTCCTAAGACACACACGTGAAACCAG